ACATAGAGGAACCACCACAGCTTGGCAGTGACCATAGCAGTCACCAGATCAGTTCAGCATTTCATAACTTAGCATAGCAGTCACAAAACAGATAGGCTCATGGCCATATAACAGTACAGCCCACCTCTCTCTATTAGCAACACTATATACTTTATACCCAGCTACTACCCATACATACCACATAATGCAGAAACTTCATCCAATTGCATACCAACCGATCACATGACAGACCGGATGCCATTACTGAGCATATTAACCCTGAGTATATCAATCCAACAAACCAAGTCCTTATGGCAACCACCAAGACTTAACACACATCCAGGAGGCACTGCATACAGAACACACATCATCACTAACTCATACACCAGATCCACCACAACATACAGAACACACAACACTAGCACACACACCAGCAACCCGCAGCAACAGGCCAGAAGACCCTAGCATACAGAACAGCATAAAGACCACAAGGCACAGCATACAGAAACACATCACTAACTTATACACCAGATCCACCCAAATATACAGATCACACAACATTAACACACACACCAGCAACCCACAACAGCAGAACTACTGCTGCTACACAGTTCCACCCAAGTACACTCGAATCTGAGTGAGGTTAAAAATAAAATCATTGATTGAGAAATTAAAGTCCTTCAGATGTGGACTCAACCACAGAGCTACCCTAATCTTAATCAGCTCACACAACTCAGCCCTGCTTGGAGTAGATGATCTGAAGATGCAATCATTTCTAAGCTTCCAGACTGACCACAATACAGCTAAAGGAATAGCACTCCGGATTTTCCTTTCCCTCTTCTTCACCTTCCCACTTGCCCACCATAACAATAACTGATCCACAACTCCTGGTAATGCCCTTTGGGTTCCCCACCAATTCAACATATGAGACCAGATACTCCACACAAAAGGGCAGCAGACTAAAACATGATTCACAGATTCCAAATCAATCTTGCAGAACACACACAGATTACACAGATTAGACCCATTCACATTTAGGATCCCCAGTCTCTGTAGAAACTCCTTTGTCTTGATTCTCTTTTTCCAAGCCATCCACCCAAATACTTGCACCTTAGGAGGAATAAACTTTAACCACACCAACTTACTAACACTGAGGGTTGGACCAAGGTTATCAACCACAAACTTACACAATGATGCTACCGAAAACTCACCAGAATTAGAGGCTAACTAGACAGGCCTATCCACCTAATCAGGCCTTAGCATAGGACTTGTTGCTAATAGATTTTTTCCGCTACAATTTTGCGTCTCTATTATCTATCTATACTATTATATTTTAAAATCCATACCATACATGATAGATCAATTAACATATTTAGATACTAAACAATAATAAAATCTTTTGCAGTTTAAGGGAAATAACGTGATAGTGGAGTAAGGGAAAAAATATTTACAAAAAGGTGAAATACATTAAAAAAATTAATAATTATAATTATAATTTTTTTATTAGTTTATAATTAATTTACACTGACTAATTGTCCCTAAAATTTATCTTTTATAATAAATCTCATCATGTAAAATGTTTGATTAGAATTTTTTTATGTGATTGCTTTCGTAGTCTTGTTGGTGAAATTGTGATTGAGTGGGGAGATTAAGATGGAAATATAAGAAATTTAAGTTATAGTACTCGTTTATTATCTTCATAGTTTTTATTTTATTAGTTAACGTTTTATTGATGTTGAATATTTATAAATAGGGTAAATTACACTTTGCTCTGCACTTTACATCAAATCCCACTTTGGCCCGTACACATCAAATTGTGACACTTAACCCCCTGCACTTTTGGTCAAGTGTCACTTTAGCCCTTCTATCAGCCTCATTGTTTTTTTTTTTTTGAACGGCGAAAAAGATGATCTTTATTGATGAAACCTACAAGAATGACAAGGATACATCAATAAAGAGGAGCTCGAAGCTAACACAAGCTAGGAGCTCCAGTTGGCAAGGAGCCAACAAGAAAAAGAGAAGATCACTCTGGCAGATTACAACACCAGATTACAAAATGCAGCCAGCAAGCAAACCAGGTAGAAGATCACTCTAGCAGCAGCAAAATGCTCGAAGCTGATCCAAACAGACGGCAATGGCCAATAACAACACAGAGTTACAAAATGCTCGAAGCTGATCCAAACAGACGGCAGACCAGAATTACCTAGCCAGCAAGCAAACCAGACAACAAACCACAGAGCACTACCCAGACAGCAAACCAGAATACAAACAGACGGTAGACCAGAATTACCCAGCCAGCAAGCAAACCAGACAACAAACCACAGAGCACTACCCAGACAGCAAACCAGAATACACAGCTGCAAACCAGATAGAGATACACAGCTGCAAACCAAGCAGATAGAATTACACAGCAGCAAACAACTCAGAAATACACAGCAGAATTGCTCCTCAAGAGCGTATGCAGTGCCTAACACCTGAAGCGTTGAAGAGAAAATCATTGATGGAGAATGGAAAGTGTTTGGAAAAGGACTTTAACCATATCGCTAACCTGATGATGATGAGTTCCTGCAGCTGCTGGGTGTTAAGTTGGGAGGCTTGAAAGAGACACTCATTTCTGATCTTCCAAATGGACCAGAGGGTGACCAAAGGGATGGCGCGCCAGATTTTCCTCTCCTTTTTCTTGCAATTGAACCCTGCCCACCACTACAGCAGATTTTCAACAGAGGCAGGAACCACCCAGAGAATACCCCACCAATGTAATAGCCCAGTCCAAACTTTCCACACCAAAGGGCAGTGAATTAGAACATGCTGGACAGTTTCATGCTGCGATTTGCAGAAAAGACATGAGGTGGAAGCCGACCTATCCAAGACACCGATCCGTTGCAAGAAGACAGAAGTTTTAACCTTGTGTTTCCAAGCGAGCCAACCAAAGAATTGTATTTTGGGAGGCAGATAGTTGAGCCAAACCAAACCACTAGAGGGAACAATGTTGCCCAAGGCAAGATTAGAATGATTGTAAAGAGTGGAAACGAAAGACTTGCTAGGGTGAAGGGCTGCCCACACAGCTCTGTCAGCAACTTGAGGATTCAAGGTAGGGGGTGCAGCTATGGTGGTAATAAGCCTGTGGAGTTCATCCTTTTCCCATTCGAAGAGGGCTCTCCTAAAAGTAAATAGCCAAATGGAAGAGGAGTGTGACACAAAGTCCTTGAGAACACCTTCCTTACTATTGGACAGTTGAAAAAGTCTGGGGAATGCATCTTTGAGGCAGAGACCCCCACACCATTGATCGTACCAAAATGTAATACGACAGCCATTCCCCACTTTTAGATGAAGATTACTAATATAGAACAATAGGAGAGGCTCATGCTTAACTGCTGCTGCCACTATGCCACCCCAGATATTAGAATGATGAATGCTGGAGCAAAGGTTTGGAAGCCAAGACCCTCCTATGAACTTATATTTACTACATAAGACCCTCTTCCATAGTGAATCATGATCTGAGGCAAATCTCCACCACCATTTGAGTAGTAAACATACATTCATATCCCTTATTCTTTTGATGCCCAATCCTCCTTGCTTTATGCTTGTTGTTACCTCTGACCACTTAACAAGATGTATTTTCCTCTTTAGATCTGGGCCTCCCCAAAGAAATGAAGCTTGAATTTTATCTAACTCCTTGGCTACGCCTTCAGGTAGCTTAAACAAAGATAAGAAAAATACAGGCAAACTTGACAACACTGCCTTCACCAGAGTCAACCTCCCGGCATAGGAGAGAAACCTCTTTTTCCACCCGGCAAGCCTTAATTTGAATTTATCAACTATTGGTTTCAAGATGTATTTTCCTCTTTAGATCTGGGCCTCCCCAAAGAAATGAAGCTTGAATTTTATCTAACTCCTTGGCTACGCCTTCAGGTAGCTTAAACAAAGATAAGAAAAATACAGGCAAACTTGACAACACTGCCTTCACCAGAGTCAACCTCCCAGCATAGGAGAGAAACCTCCTTTTCCACCTGGCAAACCTCAATTTGAATTTATCAACTATTGGTTTCCACATCCTTTTTCTTTTGGGATTAGCTCCCAGCGGCAATCCAAGATACTTGAGTGGTAAACTTTGGGTCTTGCAATTCAACAGAGATGCAAACTCCTCTAGAGTATTGCCAAGAATACCAACCCCGCAAAGCACGCTCTTATGATAGTTGATTTTGAGACCTGACACTACTTCAAAGCACCTTAAGATCCTTTTCAAAGTGAGAACTTCCGATAACTCTGCTTCACAAAACAGAAGAGAATCATCTGCAAATTGGAGATGAGATAGCTGAACTTGGTTGTTTCCAATGACGACCCCTTTGAGCAAATTCAACTCCCGTGCCCGGAGGAGGAGGATGTTAAGAGCTTCAACAACCATATTAAAGAGGAAAGGGGATAAAGGATCTCCTTGTCTAAGACCTTTCTGAGGACTGAATTCCTTAGTTGGGGAGTCGTTTACGAGGATTGAAATTCTAGATGTAGAAACACATTCCTTGATCCAGGAATCCCATTTGGGACCAAACCCAAAGTTTGATAACATTGAGAAAAGGAAATCCCAATTGACCGAGTCGAAGGCCTTTTCGAAATCCAGCTTAAACAGCAGCCCAGATTTCCTAGATTTGAGCCAACTGTCTACGACTTCATTAGCAACCAAAACTCCATCCAAAATGTTCCTACCTCCCAGAAAAGCTGATTGTGAGTCACCAATGATCCCTGGCATAACTTTTTTGAGCCTGGAAGCCAGAACTTTAGAGAGAATTTTGTACACAGAACCGACAAGGCTTATAGGCCTAAACTCATTTAAGGTGACAGCTTTTTCTTTTTTCGGAATCAGTGTGATGAATGTACTGTTGAAGCAATTTGGTAATCTGCCACTAGTGTGGAAATCCTTCATAAAATTAAGCACCTCCCCCTTAAGCATCTTCCAAAACTTTTGAAAAAACAGCAAGTTAAAGCCATCCGGCCCAATGCAATGATGCTTTTGGCTTTAAATGTGAGAGAATTCCATAACTGTCTAATTATAATATTCTGATCATATTTTCTATCTCTCCTCGGTGGCTGAAAGGAAAAGAAAAAAAAAATGATAGAAATGCTAATTATTGCTATACAAATAGAAATTTCAATGCAATGAAAATTTTCCATTTAATGTGAGAGAACTACATTAATGTTCTGATGACATTTTTCTCTACGTCCTCAATGGATGAATTGTTTGTGTGAAGAAGAAAAAGAAAAGAAAAAATTTTGTACATAGAAATGGTAATTACTTCTTTACAAAATTGTGTTTTGCTGACATATCCTGGCATTTCCTCTATAATGAATCATGACGATCCACCCAATTGAGAAGTGAGATTGATGAAGATGACTTCTTTGCAGGGAATGGTGAAAGCGCCCATTGGATGATCAAATCCAAATTCTTCCTCAGCTTGGCTTAACAAGCCTTGGAATGAAGGCTGGTTCAAGTATGATATCGGAATCACAAATTGCTTATTTTCGCTCTCTCCAACATAAACTGCTACATAGCCTTTTGGGACATCTACAGCTGCTGATGAAGCTTCTTGGTTTGCCTTCGATGATGAAGACTGTCGGAGGATATGTTTAGCATGAATAATACGAGGCATACGAATAGCCATTTTTCTCAATGAACAACAAAACAAATAGAGAGGACTTAGTAGAAGTGGAAGCTTGGCAATGAAGAATGTCAAGGTTCAAGAATTGTGTTGGCTGTGGTGTAGAGTAACTTCTTATATGTGTACATATAGATGGAAGGTGATGTGGGTTATCCTCTGAAATGTGGAATGAGTGGTGAAGGGGCATTAGAATATTGGGGTTTACTGATAGACATCCGCAGCTGAAGGAACACATGGTTTTGTCTTCAAATTCATTATCAAGAATTTTAAGCCATAGAATGGACCAAACTGTTTGTTAGTTGTAAAACATCAATGCCCTACTGTAAAACATCAATGCCCTACCACTTCTAAGATATGCTTCAGAGGCAACCAAGCTCTCTCTTTTCTTCTAGGATGATATTAAATTTTTACACAGTAAATGTTAAACTTTAGTAGTTGTTAAAATTATAAATGCATTTTTTTCTCCACAAAAGAAATAGTATGTAATCTTCTTCTTTTTTCTATTTTTTTTAATGTGAAATAAATAATTGTTGAGTCAAATAAAGTATATTAGATGTTATGGAGTTCCAAAAACCAGTAAAAGATTGATCCATAGTTAAATGTCTTCTTTTCTATTTGGAGAAATGCAGTGGATGCTAACAAATGATGGGCAAATCACTGGCAATGATTTGAAAGCAGTATAATTACCATTTCACGGGACTTTGTTTGATTTTTGTTTCAGGTCCTCCCAAATTATACCCATGAATGATCAGCAATTTTACTTTGAATATGATTTTCTTTTTTTTTGGCTTTATTTCTGGGGTGGTTAATCAAGGCTAATATATATATCATAACAAAACAGTGAAGGTCCACTTGAAATAACCATTTCCCTTTAGTAGTAAATTCTCAATCTCATCTCATTTTTTCGTTTTTTGATCGAGGGTTTGTTTGGTTTACACTGTTTTTATAAAAATTGAGTTTTTTATTTTTTGTATTTTTTAGGTTTTAGTGATTTTTTAAAACATTTTATGCAAAGTTTTTATTTTTTAGATACACCTAATCTAGATACACTTAAAAAGTATAATATTTGTGGAAAAAAAATTAAAAATTCACTAAATACAAAAAAATTCAAAAATTTATATTTTTGTATTTTGTTGTATTCAGTGAATTTTTTTAAAGATTCTTGTACAAATTTTATACTTTCTAAATATATCAAGATTGAGTGAATCTACACCAAAAAAAAAAAAAACATGATTAAAATATTTTAAAAAGTAGTAAAAATACAAATTAAAAATTCAGAAAACTGTAAACTCCAAACCAAACATTCATTCAGATCTTTACAACTAAAACTCTGCCAAAAAAAACACTCTTATATCTTCCTAATTTTTGCATGCTATTATAAATAATATTCAAAGGGTCTTTGAGCCTTGTCCCGTCTCCATATTGGTTTGAACAATCTCATTGATCAATGACCTAAAACTGTCTTATTGTTTAAGCAACTAGTTTTTTATTGAATAGTACTCATAGAGAGGACAATTCAACTATAAATTCTTCAACACCCATTTTAGATTTTTTTTTATGATCTTTAGCAGTTGGACAACCCTTTCCTTCACAAAAGCATTGTGATTCTTGTAGTAAAGGAACATTTTTTTTTTAAAGAAAAAGAAAACAGTAAAGAGAAAGAAGAGTAAGCTGTTTGATGTGAATAAATAAAATTTAATTCTATTTTCCTTTACGAAACATATAAAATTTTGACATTGGATTTACATGAGATGATGAAACAAACAGATTCTACTGATACAAAATTGAAGAAGTTAGTTTTCCAGGTCAATGGCGTTGAAACTATATTAGCAATTTTTTCCTTCAATTGAGAAAATGAACATGTAAGCAATCCAGAACGTATAAAAACAAAAAATTCAATGGAATGAAGCTTTTGCATTTAAATGTCAGAGAATGCCATTAATGTCTATCTATAATCTTCTGATGACATTTTTTTTCTTCCCTCCTTGTGAAAAAGAAAAGGAAATTGTGTGTTTATACATAGAAATGGCGATTACTACTTTGTTACAAAATTGTGTGTTTGCTAAAAAATGCTAGCAAGTGTCCTCTATGATGAATCATGATCCACCTAATGAGGGATCATGAATCACCCAATCGAGAAGTGAGATCAATGAAGATGTCTTCACTGCAGGGTATGGTGAGACCACCCATTGGATGATCAAATCCAAATTCTTCCTCAGATTGGCTTAACAAGTCTTGGAATGAAGGCTGGTTCAAGTATGATATGGGAATTACAAATCGCTTCTTTTTGCTCTCTCCAACATAAACTGCAAAATGGCCCTTGGGAACATCTACTGCGGCTGAGGCTGCTTGGTTTGCTTTCAGTGATGACGACCGTCGAAGGATACGAGGCATACGAATAGCCATTTTTTTAATTGGGAAGATATGTATTCCTTAACAACAATGGAAAGCTTTGCAAGAGAAGAACGTGAAGGTTGTGTTGGCTTTAGACTTGTTGATGTGCTTATATATATCAAAGTTACGTGGGTCTACTGATGGACACTAGCACATGAAGGATCACATGGTTTTGCCTTCCTACTAATCAATATCATTAATTTTGAATAGAACATATGTTAGCAAATTCTATTTGGTTAGCATTCTCAAATGAAGTGTGTGGTGAAGAGACTATTGCAATGTGGTCCCTTGAAGGACATATGAAATGAGGTACCACATGGGTATGCCTTGCAACAAAAAAATACTATGTGATGTTGGTGGATCTGCAACAAAGTAGGCCAAATGGATCAAAAACTACATAGTAGGGACTTAACATCTTCGTTACGCAAGCCATATGTGGCTGTCTTACAGATTTGGTTGAGAAATTGTGATCAAGTAAACACCAATGCAACTGGTGTTGAATGTGTTATGGCAACACCAGACAAGGGATTGCTCAGCCGAGCTGTTCATGTGACAATGTTCCTTGACATATGCGAGTGTGAACCCGTGATGATGTGAGCTTGATCTGAATTGGGGAAGGAGGGTTGGTTGAGTAGAAGCACTAACTTGTCTATGATGCTATCCTCTTAATCGTAATTGATCAGGATACCAAAACTAGTAAGGCTTAAATTGGGTAACGTTTGATTCAAGTAATTCAAATGATTGGCAGTATCTTATGAAGCAAAGTAAGGGTACAGGTACGGGTGCCTTATCAGGAAAATATATATATATAATAGGATACGGGTCCAAACTTCTTTTCTTTTTCTTTTTTTTTTCTTTCTTTTTTTTTTTTTAAATTAGGGGAAAGATGAAAAGAAGTGAACCCCAAGTCCAAGTGCAAATCCAAAAGACATATTTAATACTTTTTTTATTGATCAAAGTTTGTAGAAATTTGAGATATAAATCAGTGATTGAGATGAGACTAACAAAAGTTCCCATCCTGTATAGTATTATTTTAAAGTTATTATCATATGAGTTATCAACTCATATGACAATATTGCTTAAAAAATACAAGGAATTGGTGATAATTTGAGCTTGGGGCCCAAATGCAATAATTGCTAGATTGAACATAAGCAGTACAAAATCAACCTAATGTATGAAATTGTTCTATGTTTCTAACTCTAACTAAATTTGGCATGGACCAATAGTCCCTGCAAGCCACTTGCATTATGATCTGTATATATCCAGAAAATCAAACATTTTGATAATAATTGATATTGCATAAATGAATGCTTGAGTGAAATTTCACATCCTCAATGCATATATGAGAACTATGAGCTCATGTAAACTAAAACAACATAAGATTCACCTTGTAAACATTTCAGAGGAAAGAGTAATATGCAATTACAAAGTTGAACTGCCGAGACCATAATTTTCAAGTCAGGAAAATAGTGTCTCCAAAAATGGTGGTAAGGCTACAAACTTCTTGCCTCCTCAGACCCTACTTTAGTGGGAGCCTCGTGCACGGGGTGATGCAGGACAAGATTCTAGAGTTTTCGATATTTTTATTTTAATATTTTTTAATGTTGTATTTAACAAGTATTCTTGTAATTTAGCTAGAACTAGTAGGTTTCTTAATTTGTCTTTATTTTGTTTTCCTAATTTTTGGTTACTTATTCTCCAATATTGAACTAGTTAAGTTGTTTCCGAATTCTAGATTATTTGGTCTCCAAGAATACTAGGGCTGTAAGGTTCGGATTATTATAAATAGGTATGTAAACCTCATAGAAAAGACCACTTTTTCATATAATTCAATCACTGAAATCCTCAGAAAATACAGTTTTGCACATCAGGAATTTCTAGACATCAGAGTGACAAGCAGCTCCTCACATAATTCACCATTAGATTGCATATTGTATGTACTCTGTGTGGTTAATAGAATTCACCTGAGAGAATGGACATGAAAATATCAATTTAATGATACTTTTGCCTTTAAATGTGAGAGAATTCCATTAATGTCTAATTATAATTTTCTGATGACATTTTCTCTCTCCTCGGTGGCTGAAAGGAAAAGAAAGAAAATTTGTACATAGAAACTGTAAAACCCAAGTTGTGTGTGGGATTATTTTATTGGATAGATTAGTAATTAAATTAATTTATATGGGTCATTTATTAATATCAAAGAATTAGTTATGAGATGACATTATATTTTCTATTACTTAGATGGGTAATTTTGTAACGTTGAGAAATTAGGTTAATAAGCCCACCTATTGTGGCTTTAAGTCTTGGGAAACAAACAAAATAGAGGCTGGGAATTGCTCCATAGGTGGCTAGGGTTTAAAAAGGTAAAAGAAAAATTAAAGAAAACAAAACAAAACCAAAGTGAAGAAAATGTCATCAATATATCATGATTTTGGTGTTAATATATCAATAGATATATTGTATTCTTATCAGTAAAAGAAAATTAAATCTTAAGGTAAGATTTATTTTATTGTATTCTTATCTATGATTTTGGTGTTAAGATATCAATAGATGATTTTATGGGCATATATGATTAAATAGATATATTGATGTAGTCTATGTTGGGGGTCTCGATTTTGCTCAATTTTAGAGTGTATTTTGCATCCCGTTTGGGTGGTTCATATTTTGAGATTGATATGTGATGGGTTAAGTTTAATGGTGGTGTATTTGTGGGATACACGATTAACTACAAGCAATTACAAATTTTTACATGTATATAAACAACAATAGAATAATATGTGTTGAGAATTTCTGAAGCCGTGATGGCTTTGTTTTGATGCTAAATCGTGGGAGTTCCTAATAGACTATTAGGATAATTTATTCTATTGTTGTTACAAGAAGAGATGAATGGGTGCACATAATAATTGTTTAAGCGGTGTAATATTTTATTAGGTTTGTGAGATT